AGAGAGGTAGGCATGGTTTAGGAGCAAAACTGCATTTTCATAGGTGGAAAAGCTTGAAAATAAAGATTTGAATGAGTATCCTACTCAATGAGTTCAGGAACAGGAAGTTTGGTGGCTGGATGAAAAGTAGAAAGGAAGGATGCAAATCAGGTTGGATCTTGTGAATTTAGTCATCTATGCTCACCACTTCCCTGAGAGACCAAGGGGAAGGGAGGCTGCTGAGCCAAGGAAGACCCTTCCCCAGAAGGCAGATCTCTGGCTACAGCATTGGACTCTATCCTTTTTTAAAAAATTCTATTTTATTGATTTTTTTTTTTCCAGAGAGGAAGTGAGAAGGGTAGGGAGTTAGAAACATCGATGAGAGAGAAACATTGACCAGCTGCCTCCTGCACACCTCCTACTGGGGATGTGTCCACAACCAAGATACATGTCCTTGACCGAATCGAACCTGGGACCCTTCAGTCCGCAGGCTGAGGCTGTATCCACTGAGCCAAACCAGTTCGGGCATGGACTTTATTCTAATTGAAAGAGCTGCCCACAAGTCCTAAAAACTGTGTCTGGGTTCACAAACCTTCTTCCACGATAGACTGACAGCCAAAGGAAGAGCACATTGCCATCTCTCTGATCACCTCCTGACCTCACACAGAACCACACGCAGAACTCCCTGACAGCCATGCTAGTCAGAGGGAATCCTGTTGGAGTAGAAGTCTGGCCAGCTGGCACAGCTGAGAACAGGTTAAACCATACAGCTGAGCTCAATCATCATTCTTTCATGGGTGAGCGTGACCTGGTGCCCTGGGGTGGGGCCTACTGGTCCCCAGGAAATGTGTCTGCTTACCTTGCAAAATCAAGGGGTTGAGAGGGAAAGGTGTGGACATGATTCAAGGACCTTCAGGAGGTCCTCCCAGGGCTGCTTCAGACTCTGACCACTCTGGAGCTCTGCCAACGTGAGGAATTAAGAAGCAGAACATTGTGCTCTGCGGTGATCTCTCCTTCGCATGGACTTAAGTGGTCCAGCAGCAAAGGGTTGAGTTGTTCTGGATTGGAAATGAGTTCAACACCTTCGGGTCACTCATAATACCTGACATGTATCTATTATTGTTGGTATTATACTATATTGCAAGATTATAAAGAAGCATAGATTAAGAACCTATTTTCTCCTGTATCTGCAGTTTGGTTCATTGCCTTGTACCTAACACACATATGGAATAAGTAAAGGAATGAATGAACTCAATTAATATTTTATAAACAAACAACAAAACAAGAAGGACACAGCCAGGACTTAAATTTATAAAGTGTATGAAGCACTACAAACATCTTCCTTTTTTGTCCCAAGGCTCATACACTCAATAAGTACTCAACTATGTGCTCAATAAATAGTTGTTGATTTACACACTGAAGTTATAGAGCACACAGATGAAAATACTGCAAAAATTTAAAAATTGCAAAAATAAGACAACTGAGTGTCACCACAATTAAAGTATGCTCAAAATAGCAGAATACAGATGGAAGATTTTGAAGCTAAAAATTGGACTCCATGCCAGCATTTCACAGAAGGAATTGACACCAAGATCATCTAAGACTTGTCCAAAAGCAAGTCAAAGAGGCTGAGCTGGTTTGGCTCAGTGGATAAAGCATCGACCCATGGACTCAAGGGTCTAGGGTTTGATTCTTGTCAAGGGCACATGCCTTGGTTGCAGGCTCCATCCTTGGCCCTAGCCAGAGCACATGTGGGAGGCAATCAATCAATGTGTCTCTCTCACATTGACGTTTCTCTCTCTCTCTCTCTCTCTCTCTCTCTCTCTCTCTCTCTCTCTCTCTCACACACACACACACACACACACAAAATCAATGGGCAAGAGCAAGTCAGAGAGAGAACTCTGGTCAAGTGTCATGGGAAACATTGTTGTAGGGTTTGAATCAGTGGTCACCCTTGTTGACTGGCACTAGCAATAAATGAATAATCCAGGGTACTTGTAACTCAAGGAAAATCCCTTAGAAAAGGCCCAGAGTTCCCACATGCTCTCATATTCCTACTCAACCAGCTCCTCCCAGGACCAGGGCCCGTCAGCTTCTTCAACAGGAACTTTGCTCATTTTAGGGCCAGACATTTTGTCTCCTGGGTAAACAGTCTTGTTAGACACCTCATTCATAATTTTTTTTTGGTTTTATTATTTTTTTTAAAAAAATTACCGAATTTTTTTTAATCACCATTTCTCCCCTATATGCCCTCTTCCACCTCCACCACCTCCAACTCTTTTTATTGCGTGAAGTTTTATCAATCACTATGATAGTTCTGAGTCCATCCTTTTGTCATTGGCAGTGTGACTTGGTTTGGAAGCAACACTAAGTTTGCTTTGAATAGTTGAAGGATCGCTTCTATCCTGTCCGTCTTTCCTGCTGTGGTCCAGGGTTATTACCACTTCCATACGGGTGGTCCCTGTCCTCAGCTCTCGCAAGGCCTGTGCAGTTTCCTCAGTGCTCATGGTCTCTCATCATTCACGCTGCTTGTCTCCTATTCCAAACCTAAAGGCCCTCCTTACACAACGTGGTGGTGGTCGCCATGCAGTGCCTGCAGCGGGTGGGGAATGGTCTCCCGGGCACCCCCTTTTTTCTGTCCCTGAGCTTCATGGAAATGCATGTGTGATGGCTCAGAGGCTAGGCAATGGCGCCAGGAGAACAAGAACAGGTGGGAGGGCTTGCCCTAATGGGACAGTCCTCTTACGGCTGACAAAGTCTGCCCTGGGCTGCACACTTGTTTCTAGTCTAAGGTACCTGGGTGCTGACGCCTAAGGGTATAAAATATCCTTGGTCCTACCTTCTACTTGCTTTGGAGATAAACCCACGCTTATCCTGAGAAACAACCTCCTAAATTTCTATATAATAAAATGCTCCACAAATAAAACAGACATTTCAAAGATCAGTTTCCCTTCCTACAGCTATCAAGCTAGTGTGTATGTGTGTGTGTGTGTGTGTGTGTGTGTGTGTGTGTGTGGGCGCGCGCACTTCCAGTCTGGCTGACACTTCTCAGCTGGGAGAGTGGGGGCGGGGGGGAGGGGAAGAAGGAATATTCTCTCTCTTTTTCCTAAAAAGTCCCTTGTGGTCACTGAACATTAGTGTCCCCTTCGTTTACATTTTCATTCACCTTTTCTTTTAAATTCCTTCTGTTCATTCTAATTATTTATAGGTCTCAGGGTACCAAACATCTCAGAAGAACTATCTCTGACCAAGCTTTGGCCAATGCTACTGTTCATTAGGTTGAACGGTAGAAAACCAACACAAGACCAGCGAAGAGAAGTTGACATTATGTTTTGCAGCAGAAAACCCTATTTCCAAGTGCTATACACAGCAGACTCTCTTCGCTGGACATACAAAAGAGAGTCCTGCTCTTGAAATGCAAATCAAAAGCGAGGAACAATAGAAGCCGGAGCACAAAGGGACTTTCGGGTGACCTGTAAGGTGAGTCACTGCCAGGCCGCAGGCTTTACAAGGAGAGTCACCGAGGCAAAAACGACCGGCACATAGAATTATTGAGGCTGTGAAAGTACTTAGCAAACGCTCCACTAGATCTCTGCCCCATTAAAAAAGGTCATTTGGAAACAGGTATTAAAATGCTTTAACGGTTTCCCAAACTTGTGGATGGGATGTCGCGGGTAAGGGGGCTTAAAGAAAACGAAGTCCTTGATCAAATTAACTGCAAATTTAATTCAACACTGTCCCTTTAACTTACCAGAGATGGCCTTGAAGTTTAAAAAAATTTTAAATCTGTATACGTGTTATGGGAATGTGATTAACCATCTCTACATCAAATAAATCCCAGCCAGATACGTTGTCACAGTACTATCTCCCCTTCCATCGCACCCGTTCTGCTTGGTTTCCGATTTCACTGCACTGGGATTACATCAGTGCACTCACACTGCATGATTAGGACTGCTTTAAACTCTGGAATTACAAACCTCAACCAAGGGCTGTGCATTGTACTCACTGTCGTCATCACTGCCATTAGCATGCTTTTCAATCCTTGCAGAATAGTGGGGTAAAAGGTCTTGTAAATAAGTCCCACTGTGACATGTCTCCTATTGATTATCGGCAGCAATTATAGACATCCTGGGCTCCAAAACAAGATATAGAACCTGGGGAAGTGCCCAGGTTTTGTGGATCTAAAGGAATTTTTTTTTTGGGGGGGGAAAGATTATTTAAATCTATGGATTAAAGAGCTAGCGTAAACTTTAAAAAGTATTTACTTGCAGGCTGAATTTTATAAATGGATGAAGATCTAGTCTATTGAGGGGAAAGAATCTATTCTGAGTTTTATTGCTTTCTACAGAGTGACATTAAAATATTTTATGAAGATGTTCTGAAGCCTAATTGGATGGCTTCTGTTCTGTGCCTCCCTGCGCACCCAGCCCCCTCCCTTCCCATTCTTCTTCAGCATCAAGAGGCGGTAGGCCCACTTAAAGTGGACGTCAAGTATTTGTCACCCAAGCAGCTCACCCTGAGAAGACTTTGGTCACATATTTTCCAGTTCTAAATACACACCAAGCAAGCCTTTCACAGTTAAAAACAAAACGTCTCACGTGGTTTCTCTTTTAACATAAAGGTGTCTGTAATCCCCATACTAACAAGCTCCTTTGGGATGTGGAAACCCATGAGCCTCTGGGATAAGTCCTACTAGTTTGCTGGCACCACAGCTTGATTCACTCATTTTAATCCCATTAGCCATTTTCATCAAGGTTCCTCATTAAGTCTCTTTAGACAACCCATATATTGATAGTTCGCTATTTTATAAACTACGAATCTGAGAGAAACTCTATATACCTCTAGGTATCTGTAACAAGTCCAGAAGTTTCAATCAAGTTCTTGTTTATAATGATCTTAAAACATATACACTCGGATTGTTATAATTTCCTTGCTATGCATTTCTGGATGTTAATAAATGAACCGAATAGTGGTGAGAAGAGGTCCCAGTGCCCCTTAACAACTACAATACCGCTCTGTAATTTGCTGAAAGCGAATGGTATTCATTTACTCTTTTTCTTAAAGTTCATGACAAAAGCAAACAGGTAGATTTTTGTTAAGAATCTCCAGGTTGGTTGATCTAAAGGCTTTGAAACTTGATAAATGCATACGTCAGACTAAAGAAATAAGCTTTTGAAACAAAATCCTGGGAAAAGCAGCTGGCTTTGCATACACGGAGAGTTCAGTCCTCCTGTTGGAGTATTTTCAGACAATTGTTAGTAAGGTTCGCAAGGAGACGGAAAAGAATGCTTACTGGCATCGTGACGCATGTATGAGGATGCACAGAAGCCAAGAGAATTTAGGAATAATGAATGAGTATCTCCCTCCCCCCCTTTCCTGGCCTCAGGTTAATAAATAGGGATCTGGCTAACTGGTTCCACTCTGGGTGCTGCTGGTTTCTTTCTAGAAATGTTCTCCCTGCAGCTTTCCAAGAGTAGCTGTTACATCGTGTAGCCAATGATTAATTCTGTAACCCGGGATTTTGCATGCCTGCTTTGACGTAGGACGGGCTACAGTCTTGCAGTGGAAAAAAGTACAAAAGTCACCTTAGCGTCTTACAGTGCAACAGTTTTAATGGTATGAAAACAGGCAGGACAGTTTTGCAGGCCGAGGTTAAAAGCAACCTTGCCTTCACACGCTTCTACTTAGAAGGTTTTCCTGCTCTCCTTGCGGTGTAGATCTACAGAAGTACTTCTAAAGTGCATTTCTCAGGCATTGAAAACAGCCCTGGTGGCTCTCCAACAGCAAGCTCTTCCTTAGCGTGCGACCTCCCCACGGGGGTCTGCCCCATTCGAGGGGCGCTCCCCTCTCTTAGAGCCGTGGTACCCCTCTCGCTCCCACAGGCCACAGAACGGCTCTTTGGAGATAATCATCAGGCCAACTTCCTGGGTGGTGGGCATCTTCTCTGACCACAAATAAATATTGAATGCAGCCGTGAGTCACGAACTATGGAAAGCTCAATGGACACTTCCATTTCCCAGAGCGTGAAATCACGGAGGGGGGCCTTGCGCTGAGATTCTGACTTGGTGGGATGGAGACACCAAGCTCAGAGGCAGGCCAGAAGTCTCGGGTTCGGGGGCTGGGGGTTGGGGAGCCGTGGTGGGAAGAGGGACCGTTCGTCCCCGCTAAGGCTGGTCCTCCTGGGGGTCCGCAGGGAAGTCCGCCTCCTCCGGGGACCGGACCCCCTCGGGGAGCAGCGTGGCGCGGACTTTCCGCTTCTCCTTAAAGCGCCCGGAGCGCGAGATCTTCAGGTTGCGGCGGCTGCTGCCGGGCTTGTCCGCGCCCAGCTTGTCCGGCCTGGGGGACTCGCCGGCGCCCGCCAGGAGGTTGGGGTGCTGGTTCTCCCGGGAGCCGCTAGTCCAGTCCGGGCTGGGCGGCGCGGGCTCCCCGGGGGCGGGCTGGGCGGCGGGCTGCACCCCCACCGGGGCCTCCTTGCTTTTCTTCCTGCTGTTCATGAGCGATTTCCACCAGGGCCCCGAGCCGCCCGTGCCGCCGCCGTCGGCCATGGCCGGCCGAGGGGTCCGGGCGCCTCGGTGGCGCCCTTTCCGGGGGCCTCCGGCGTCCGCTCCGCTCCTGCTCCCGCTGCTCGCACCCGGGCTGCGGGGTGGGGTCAGAGGCCGCGGTCTGTGCTGGGGAAGAAAAAAACTTAGCTCCTGGGTTTGTCCAACGAGCCCCCTTGCCCCCCAATCTCATCTCCTCCCCTTTGCTCGGCGCGACACGGGGAGCCCCGAAGCAAAGAGATGCGCCTCCCGCAGGAGTCACCGCGGGGTCCGGGGCAGATGAGCGGCCTCCAGGGCGCCACCGTCTGGCCGCGGGGCTGAGGCTCGGCACTGCCCAGGCTCAGCCTTTGCCTTGCCTCCCGGCAGGAAGAGCAGGGGTCAGCGAGCCAGGGCCACTCAAGGGAGAGCCTGGCATCTGGGTTAACTGAGTCCCGGAGGGAAACGGTTTGTCCGTCCCTGGACCAGACTGCAGGCGGGTGGATGCCCGCGGTGACCTGACCCGGGCCAGAAAGGCCTTCCCGTGGGGAACGGGCGGGTAGCCATTGAGTCCCAGCTCCGGGTGAACACTGAATATACCCCTGCCACAGGCGGCTGCTTCACAGCCTTCTGTCCCAGGACACCGTTCTTTCTTTTTTGTTAATCCTCACCATTTGAGAGAGTGGAAGGGGGAGACAGAGAGAAACACGCTGTGAGAGGGACAGACGGATGGGATGGGTTGCCTCCCTCAGGCGCCCTGCCCAGGCTAGGGACTGAGCCTGCAACCCGGGACCCTTCCGTTCTGGGGCCAACGCTCTACCCACTGAGCCAAAACGGCCAGCTTCCCCTCCCCCCCCCTCCCCGATACTTTTCAATGCGATTCTTCAGGGTCATTTACGGGCGAGGGACACGCTCCTGGTGTTTTCTTTTCCATTCTGCTTTTGCCAGAACTCCTGCCTGGTGACTTTCGGAGAAGTATGATTCGACTTAACTTCCCTCGAAAACCACCAGCCTGCTCTCCATTCCCCAGAGACCAGCCTGGGCCTCTTTGAAGCCACCGGATGATGGCTGCGATGAAGCCCAGCGGCGGCCGCAGATGCCCTCTTCCCCCCCTCAGTTCTGGATTAAAACACGCCCGGGCGCAACTGCCTCCTGCAAGGAGGAGGTCACCTGGAGCGCCACCCCGAGGTGCATCCTCCCGGCTTTAAGAAGTGCATTCTGGCCCTAACCGTTTTGGCTCAATGGATAGAGCCTCGGCCTGTGGACTGAAAGGTCCCTGGTTCGATTCTGGTCAAGAGCATGTACTTTGGTTGCGGGCACATCCCCAATAGCGGGTGTGCAGGAGGCAGCTGATCGATGTTTCTCTCCCATCGATTTTTCTAACTCCTTATCCCTTTCCCTTCCTCTCTGTAAAAAATCAATAATATATATATAAAAGAAGTGCATTCTGCGGAGCGACTAGGGTGTGTGTTCCGCACAGAAGGTGCCAATAATTCCAGAAGCAATGGAGTCCTCTGCCCGCGGTCTGTGGGGAAAGGGGGATCTGCCGGGCACGAACCCCACGAAAGCGCAGGGTTTGCCTGCGCCTTCGTTCTTGGCCCGGTTTGCACCCGGCTTCCCCCCAGCCCCCGCGCCCCGCGCCCCTGGGATTTGGCCGGTGTCTGGAGAAGGAACCGAAGCGCACCCGGCGGCAGGAGGTGGTCCTGCCGGAACCTGGAACCCGGGACGGCGGGTCTGAGCGCCCACGAGGAACAGCGGGGCGGCCTCCGCTGGGCGCAGGGACGGCCGCCGGCTCCTCCCCGGGACGCCCGGGGGCACCCTCCTGCTGCGACTTGAAAACAATAGAAAAAAAAATGGCCAAACGTTCTTTTCGTCCCCACACCCTCAGGCAGAGTTTGCAGTCGGGTGTGCAAACATCCTGCTCCCTCCGCTTGGCAGATCGGAAAAGCGCCCGGAGTTTTCCCCGGTGGCGGTGGTGGAGGTGGCGGTGGGGGTGTGTCCGGCGGCCCGCAGGTTCTCTTAAGGCGCCAGAGAAGCCCCCAGGGGACACCGGACCGGGCTCCGGACGCAGAACCAACCCGATCGCTCACCTGCCCGGACCCCGCGGCTCCGCGGGGTGCGCTCGGGTCCGCCTGGAAGCCGGGCGCGGCGTCCCTCCGTCCGCGCGGTCCCGGGGAGCCCGGCTACTTTTTGGGGAGCTGTACCGGCCGAAATCCCCGCGGCCCGGCTACGCGGGCGGGTGGTGGTGGTGCCCCTGGCACCACCGACTTCTGCGGAGGGCCCCGCGGCCGGGGTGTGCCCGCCCGACGCCCCAGGTGAGCGCCGGGGCCGCGCTCCGGGTCCGCGCCGCTCGGGAGCCGCCGGGAGCGGGGACCTCGCTGCTCGCTCGGAAGCTCTGGCCCTCCCCACGCGCCGGCCTCTCTCTCCGACGGACGCCTGCCCCCCTGCTGGTCCTCCGCCAGGTGACCCAGCAGTCTGCACCGGCGGCCGCGGGAAGAAGAAGAAAAAAAACAAACCCACAGCCCGGGGGCCGCCCGCCACAGGTGCAGGTGGCGCTTTGCATTTCCGCCCTCCGGGCCCCGGATTGGCCCGGGCGCGGGCGTGGCGCCGGCCTGCGGGGTCTGATTGGAGGGGCTGGGTGTGCGGGCGGCGCCGGCCCAGAAGGAGCAGGAGCGGCGGAGGAGACCGGAGGCCGGGAGGCTGAGGCTGCCGGAGGGCACGGGCGGGTGGAAGTCCCGCAGCTCTCCCTCCCCTCCACCGACTTACCTCCCCCCTCCCTCCCTCTCAGGGCCCCCACCAAGGCTGCTCAGCTCCGGCCGCAAGTTTTAACTCCCAGGATTTGTTCCATTTCCAGGCACAATGTTGCAGCCTAAGGCGCTTTTAGTGGAAAGGCTGTACTATTAACAAGTTCGCAGGGTGCCCCCCGGGCGCTGTGCCTAGCGCTCCTGTGGATTAGCTCGCTCATTACTCGCAGCGACCCTAGGAGGCAGGTGGCAGGCAAGGAGACCCTGCTCTGAAGGGTAAGGGTGGCCCAGAGTTGCAAGGCTGGCAGGAGGCAGGACCCCAGCTTGGGATTTGAAGCGAGGAGGTCTGACTCCAGCTCCCCGGGTCCTAACCGGCACGGGATCCCGCACCCTGCCTGCTTTGGGCCCCTAGAAGGCGGAGGCTGTGACTTCCGGCAGGTGTGGAAGCCCAGGGCACAGCCCTGGGAGCGCAGACCCAACCCAAAGCTGTTGCAGAAGCTGGCCAGTGAGTTATGTCAAGGTTCAGGGAGCTGTAGCGCCAATCACAAGCCCCTTTGTCGTTGGACAGAAAGGTATAGGCGTTATTTCACCACTGAAGGCAGACGTGCAGTCTCCTTCATCTTCCAGGATGCTCTTCTTTTTCAAAGAACTACCATAGTTTGATGTTCCCTGAGCTCGCTTAGGATTCCTCTGAAGGCTGAGGATGAAGCAAGGGTCCTGTATTGGAGACTTTCTGAAGCACATAAATACTGAAAGACACAGAATAGCAGAAAGTGAGCTGGACAGGCCATTTCAGCGCCTAACATGGGATAAAAATAAAAATGCTTTATATCGTTAACGTCTTACTTTAGCATTCTTGGATTTTTAAAAGGTATGAGCAGCAGCATGTATCTGAAAGCGGTGCATTTTCATATAGTACTGGGATTCATTTTAGAGAGTAATGTTCCATGCGAGCACCAGGACAGAACAGACAGACAGGCCACCAGCGGGGAGGGAAGGGCAGAGGAAGTCTCCATGGTGTCGCCTCACTGCAGAGGAAGACGGCGGGCTGAGGAGAGAGACCCTGGTCAGAGGTATCCTCACCTTAGGAAGTCCTGGAGCTGGGCTGCTGCCTTGTTGATCCAACAGGTGAAAAAAGCAAGACATTTAGGAAAAAACAAAAACCACTTCTGTCAACTGGCTGGATCCTCAGGCAGTGTGGTTGAATAAGGGGCCGGCATTTTCTTAATAAATGATCATCTACTGACTGATACAAAAATCTTTCTCTGCCACCCCTCCCATTTATATTGAACAATTCTGTTACTTCTGTTGTGTTTCGCTAACTTAAGAACATCTCACAAACAACCCTTGCATGCAGTAAAATGTAAATGGAGACATGAGCGCCAAGGACAGAGTAGGCAGAGAGGACCAGGGGGGTAGGGAATGGGTGGGCATTGCAAACAGAGGGCATGGCGTGTGCAGAGGCCTCGAGGTGGGATGGGGAGGCATTTAGGATTTGGGGGGAGCAAAGAAAAGGCCAGTGTCATCTGAGGCACTGCAGGACATGGAGCTGGAAAGGGGGTTAGTGTTAGGCACATACTGAGTGTTCTGTTTCTGTTGATCCAGGAGCCTTACTGTTTGCTTCTGTAAAGAGGACCTGGGCTGGTCCCACACTTCCATGCTGTTAAGCTGGGCATCCTACAGTGTGGATGCCTTGAAAATTGATTCTGCTAACCAGTGAGTAGCAGGTGACGTTACATGTTACAGAATTTCAGTATGCTGAGACTGAGCAGTTATTCCTTCTTAATAATATTTCACCTTGCCATTTTTCATTTTTCAAAACAAATATATAGAGAGTTTGAGTGAGATGCTGTACTTATTTTTCTTTCTTTTTAGAAATTAAATTTCTCAGGTGAACCTTCAAGTGCAATAAATGATTACACTCCAAGACATTAGAGAATGAATTTCTAGAGAGCAGGATTTGCATACTAGAAATTAAAACCAGAACATGAGAGGTTAAATTTGGCATTTGCAACCCTCGCACAGCCAGGATTGATATTTGGGAGACAATCCTTTTACTCTTTTTTTGCCCCTATGTCCACATTTACTCCTTTCATTCTTACTCTCTTCTTCCCTCCCCTCCCCTCCCCTCCCCTCCCCTCCCCTCCCCTCCCCTCCCCTTCCCTTCCCTTCCCTTCCCTTCCCTTCCCTTCCCTTCCCTTCTTTTTTCCTTTTCTTTTACAGACTCTTCCATTCTTTGAAAATTAGATATGCATCTCCCATGGCCTCTTCCTTTGTAGTCACCAATGCACTGTTTAATATTTCTTTTCTCCTTTCCGTACTAGTATATTCACATTAGTGATGTTGGATTTAGTTTATAAACATTAAAAAAATTATTATTATTATTTTAGAGAGAGAGAGCAAGAGAGAGGGAGGGAGAGATAACTTTGGTGATAGAGAAAATAATCAATTGTCTGCCTCACGCAAGCCCCATACTGGCGATGGAGTGTGATCCCAGTCAGGGCACCTAACAGGGAATCTAAACTTGACCTCCTGGTTCATGGGTCAATGTTCAACCATTGAGCCACACCAGCCAGGAAGTTTATTAACATTTAAATGATAACATGTAAGTTTCAGCACCCACGTCTGATGTTGGAACCCACTTTTTGTAGCATCTCATCCTGCACCTTGTCAGGTTAACATGATGCATATCTAGAAGTACAGCAATTATAGGTACAGAATATCACTGATCATTTTAGTTTTACACTTGAGTGAAGCCAGGCTGATCTGTACAGTGCAGCCTCTCTGAAATTCAGTCCACACCAGCTGACTCTTCCTAGCACCCCATTCCTACCCACTTTGTGGTCTCTTGATATTATTGTATGCTCCCCATTTTTCTTAAAACTCATTTGTAGGCCTAAGTCAAAGGTGGCTTACTCTGGAAAGGATTTCAGAGGCCAGGGGCCCGCCAGTAAGGACCACTTGCCACATGTTCTTGGCTGGAGGATTTTGGGGACAATGAAAATAAGAGATCCACCGAAACCCGGTTTGGCTCAGTGGATAGAGAGTCCGCCTGTGGACTGAAAGGTCCCAGGTTCAATTCCGGTCAAGGGCATGTACCTTGGTTGCGGGCACATTCCCAGTAGGGGTGTGCAAGAGGCAGCTGATTGATGATTCTCTCTCATCAATATTTCTAACTCTCTATTCCTCTCTTTCTCTCTGTAAAAAAAAATAAAAAAAAAATAAATAAAAAATCAAAAAAATTATTAAAAAAAAGAAAATAAGAGATCCATGTGAGCACCTGTCACAGTCACAGCTCTGCCCCCAGATCTTTTCTGCCCAAAGGAACCTCATGGTCTGCGCAGACCTGTGGATGGGCTTGGGCATACATCGCTTCTGGGCTGCGCGAACCTCCGGGCTATGACCCTTTGGGATCTACACTTGAGAAGTATCTCCTATTAACCACTCCAGGTGGAGTGAGGCCTCCGCTGAGAATTCTGTCCCTTTTGCCCCAGGCTATAAGCTCGAAGGCTGTTTTGGTGCCCCGTTGTTTTCAGCAGGAGATTCCACCCAGATCAGTTAGGCTGCCACGGAAGGGAACGGGTGGGGTTTAGATTGGCAATCGTTTGCTTAGTGTTTGTCCCCTTAACTAGCCTATAATTTTCTTGTTATTTATTTGCTTATTGCTTGGTTTCCTCACTAGAAAACGAGTTCCATTTTATTCAATGATCCCTTGCATAACACCTCCTATGTAACCTGTACAGCTCTAATTGATTTATAAATATTAACTCATTTAATCCTCCTAAAGGCCCCATGACATAGGCATTGTTAAGTACAAACTTAAGTTACATGCCCAAGGTCATGCAGAGTCAGCGTCCAAGGACCTAACCAGTCATTCTGCTGCTGTCTCTCCCTGAGCACTAGGACATGCCACTCATGAAGCGTCAGGACCTTGAGTGTTGCCCAGCGATAACAGCTCTCAATATTGCAGATGAGTGACCATCCAATGCAGAAATAGGGATGTTTCGTGGGTTACAATAGGACTGACTTGTAAAAAATGTAATAGAAGTAGCAATGAAATAAAATGTTGATCCGTCTTTACATGGAATAGCAGCCTGATTTTCTTCTGATGTGTGAGCCCAGTAAGTGGACCAATCTACACTAATAAAATAGAAAGGTGCAAATTGACCATACTTTCATGACACCCACCAGCCAATCAGGAGTGAGTATGCAAATTAACCCAAAAAAGATGGTGGGTTAATTTGCATACACAGGTGCTGAGCAGTACTGCCCGAGCAACTAGGTAGCATGGGAAGGTGGAAAGGCAACTCGGGGCCAGAGCAAAGGCAGTGCCGGGAGCCAGGGGAAGGAAGGCCCATTCTTGCACAAATCTTCGTGCATCGGGCCTCTAGTGATCTGATAAGCTTGTATCTGTTGGTTCAGCATGGGAGGAACACTGTCTGCTGTGAGACCTAA